GTATTTATTTATTATATATATATATATATATATATATATATATTAGATATGATAGTGTTACTTCAATGTTCTGATTAATTCTTAGCTACTGTGATTTATTAAGAATTTCCCTTTGTATTTTATAATTAAGAGAATATGTGCTTTTTGCATGATAATAATAAAATCTGCAAAATATTTATATTCAATTTGAATATTCCATATAATAATTTTGATAAACTAACAAAATTATTTAATTCAAAATGATTTTCAGATTAATTTAAAAATTATTTTCAAATCTGGTCAAATTTTTGGACACTTCAGTAAAACTGTTCTTTCTGTCGTTTCTTGTTTTTTTTTCAACAGAATATTTCAACAATATTATAGGAACGTTGGAACATTCCTATTGCGGGAATATGTTGTGCCGTGACGAGCTGATAGTGCGATTCGCTATCACGGTGTAAGTAAAAATGGTTGAAGAGAAGATTGGTGCCGTTTATGATAAGTCGGAGTGTCATGTGTCACGTCGAAGAATCCATGATTTATTCTAAACGCGTCCAGAGCTTTCCAAAAGAGACTGCAAAGAAAAACATTCAATAAATAATCCCCACAAAATAATTCAGAACGATAATTCATGTCGCCAATATAACTTCCCTCTTGCGTACTTACCATCGTGGAGTCGTTTAGAGACGTTAGCATACTCTTGGTAACAAAAACCGTCACGCTGCTGTCGCAGCGATCTATCGCAGAGTTCTCGATTAGGTCGCGTTTCCTTCTCAGAACCCGCACCTCACCGAGGGAATACGAACACGAGCTCGGCATATATAGCTCACCCTCGGAGTGAGATGTCTCGAGGGTAGTCTCGATCTGAAATCATCGAGTTAAGTTGATTTACCAATAGACCACACGGTATCGATTACTGATAAAAAGCTTTTAGAAAAGTTTCAAAAATTATTTCACATTTCATGTGCAACAGTAATTCTGCACATAAGATTCTGCAAATGAAATATTGCAACAAAAATATTTCTGCAATTTTCTGCTTTGAAAATAGTTTTTTAAAAACTTTGATTTAAGTTGCTTTTGTCAATCTTATATAGTAAATTTGAAGACATAATTGTAGGATTGTCGTTGAAGAAAAACTTGTTTTTTGCATGTATAATTTGTCAGGTTTTTTTATATAATCAATATCATTATAATATATATAAAGATATAGACATGTAATTATTTGCATCTTTTATGAAAATTATACATGCAGCACAGAAAAGAATATTTCAGAAATATATTTTATCTGATAAAATTAAAATATTTTATAAACATTGCGAAATATTTTTCAGATTTGCCATAATGTTTGCGATTCTTGTAATCATACGGAAAAGTAACTTAGAGATCTATAATCTCTCTGAAATATTGCTGAAATAAATAAAATGATTGAAACCTTTCTAAAACATTTTTTAGAAATATTTAAGTTCAGGCTTTTAATTATTTTTCTGCAAACAGGATCTTTTGTCGTTATATTCATTTCATAAAGCAATTAAATTAATGATAACTTTTAATTATGTCTCTATTCATGCGTAATATTATTATAAAAGAGAGAAAAAAAGAAAGAAATTTTCCTCACGATCAATGATCGTCTATGTTGACAATACTATTATATAAAAATTTATTGTATATTTATATTTTATTCTCTCTCTCTCTCCCTTCCTCCCCTCTCGCGTAACAATTGTGTAATAATTAAATTTCATAATTAAGAAACTTTTCACTTACTCTCCTCGCGTTTCCGCTCGACACGTCATTGATCGACCTGAATATAATGCACAATGAGAAAATTAAATGTTAAATCACATTCTAGAATCGTGATTAAATAAATTATACATCAGCGTATACAACGTTCTCGTGAAATTCACCTGTCATCGTGATCCAGCACCGTACTGCTGACGCTGGAATTAGAACTAGACAAGACGTCTGTCCTGTACTTTCGCGGTCTGTCTGTCAAATCGATCGATTGTCTCTCATTGCCGTTTATCGCAGTTTTTCCAAGTCCGTCATTTCCGTCTCTGCGGTTTTCGATCGTCGCAAATGTACCGCGAATTTCTTCGTTCCTCGTATCTCCCGTTGAATCATCCTTTCCGGCGATCTCCTTAAAGGAGATTTGCTCGTTACGCGTTTCGATTTCCTGTAAAGAATTCGTAATACCAATTTTTTCCTCAATTATAACATGTTGCGGATCAGTTTTTATTCCATGTGAAGATTCGCCGTCTTTCTTTGCCGGCGAGTATACGAAATTAACAACGTCTGTCTTTGCTGGAGCTTCATCGACAAATTTCGGTTCGGCAGAACTCGCATCCGGATGAACTCGCTCGTCTTTTATCTCCGAAGCTTCTGAAAAAAATAAAGCCCTTTTGTCCGCCGACGTGACGTTGTCATGTGTTTCCCCGCTTGTAATTTCTTTTATAATTTCTTTCGGGATATCTGAGCGCCCGTTGATCGCCTCGTCAGCTTGCGTGACGGTCTTGTTTGCGTGCTGATCTTTATTATCTAATTCATCTTCTCCAATCCTCTCACCATTTGTTTCATCTTCTTTATTCTCAAGTATTGCATTCCCAGCGTTCGAATCTACAGCTACCATTTTATGTCCCTCTTTCGATCTTGCAGATACGATCTGCGCAGATAAATGTTCAGAAGTTTCTTTGGGATTTTGATTAGCGTCGCTGTGGATATCGGAGATCTGCTTTAATGACTCGGCCTCCGAGCACGAGTTTCCCTTGCTGTTGTTTTTGCTATTGTTCTTAGAACCTCGAGCGGACTCGAAATGAACTCCGGAACGAACGATCTCCCTCGTTTCTCGAAGGGCGGAAGAATCGGGAAAATATTTCTCGGGATCTCGAATATCGTTAGGTTTGTCAGCGATCTGCCCGAGGTCGCTCGTATTAATTTTCGCCTGAGTTCGCAAAATCGATTCCTCAATCGCGTTTGATAGCGCGTTTATCTGCATCAAGGAATCGGCGATGTTCCCTAGAAACGCTTCCTCCTCCTTCCGACCGTTCTCATTAACGTTCATGATTTTCGTTTGATTTTCAGCATCGATCGGAACCACCCTCGCAACATCCGCTCCTTCTTCCGTCTCGTCTCTGTCTCTTTCGCTATTATTTTTAGAAGAACGAATAGACTCGCAGCGAGCCGTAGAGCGAGCGCTCTCCTTCGTTTCGCGACACTCGGAAAAATCGCACGAGTATTTCTCGGTATCCTTGACTCCCTCCTGGGAATTTTTGGCAACCTGCCCGATTTCGCTCGCGTCAATTTTTTCTCGCGCAGCTTCCTCTCGCAACGTCGATCCGTCGATCGCGTTCGACGGAGCGTTCGCTCGAGCAGAGATATCAGGAATATCTCGAGTCTCCTTGTCATTCGTGTTTCCCCTGTCAGATTGATTTTTAACGTTGATCAGAATATCCCTCAGGATATCCAAGGTTTCCGTTTGACGCGCGTCGCGGATCGATTCGGTCTCCAGCAGATGATCCAGAAGTTTCCGCACCACCGCAGGCTTGATCGCCGATTCCTTCAAGGCGTTCCTGAGCTTCCCTTCGATGCTTTGTTTCTCATCCTGCAGGATATAGGTGACGAATCGATCCGCGGTCTCAGACGTGTCCTTTCGGGTAAATCGCGCGAAGATTCCGTCGTCGGGATGTTCTTTCCCGGAACGTTGAAGCTCGCGTTTAAATGGAACTTTATTTGCGGATGTGACGTCATGTGACCTCGTGTCCGCGTGATGATCGCTCCGAGCGGTTTCCTGCTGCCGATGACGACACGTCTGCGATTCCGTGTGCGTGCTCGATAACGCGGGAACCAAGTTGGAAAATGTGATGTCCGATTTGTCCATCGACGATTCCGACAAACGCGCCTCGGCCGTTGATCCTCGAGCCCTGTCATTGTCGCGAGATGTCTTGAAATCATCACTCGAATCCAACGCGAGTAACAAGCTAGATTCAACGGAGTTCCTCGAATAATTGCCGCGAGAATCATCTCCCTTCGACGATTTCACGTCCATGTTCGCGTCCTGCAGATTCTCTCCGGTTCGAGGCGTCTCTGACGCACGCGAGACCGTCAAGTCCTCGTTCCTCAAGTCAATCTCCAAAATCGACGATCGAGTCGGTGCGTACGATGAGTACTTGAGGTCCTTATCGGCTGAAGTCTGACAGTCCTGAGGTACTTTGCGACTCTCGTCTCGTGGTACTCGCTCTTCTTCATCCTTGTATATCGCGAATTCAGAGCTCGATAATAATTCCGCGAGATTCTTCGTCGTGCGAACGATGCGCTCTATCTTCCTGTCGTTAAATTGCAGAATCGAATCCAGCTCGTCGAGACGCGGCCGATACAAATCGATCTCGTCCAACTTGTTCTCCATCGGAAGAACGTCCGAGCAGTCCGAGGCTACGAAAAGTCGACGACGCACATCCTCGTCGGCGACATCGTGAAGGCTATCTTGTCCGTTATGACTGTTGAACGTGTGCGAAAAGTGTCCATCAATCGTCCGATAAGGTCTCGGGCTTTCCGCTTCTCGATAGCGCGCGGCGATATTTCCACATCGAGGAAAATTTGCTTTCCTCGAAGTGTCACCGGCGGGCAGTGGCTTTGATCGATCGCCTTGCTTTTCCTCTTGGATTTTGCCCACAGCGTTTTCCACGTTTCGCAGACGATCGACGCTTCCCTCACGGAAAATTTCGTCTTCCTTCGCGATCTTCGTATCACCGGAGGTAATTTCTTCGTGGTTTCTCGAGTTGTTCTTCAATTCTTCATTCTCATCAGCCTCGGCGGACTTAGCCGCGCCTTGACTCGCATTTTCCCGATGCTCGGATGCTCTCCTATCTTCAACATCCTGTCGATCAGGTTCTCGATCCCTTTTCTCTTGCTTTGGAGACTCGATTCGCTCATCCCCTCGCTCAAAATTCCTAACTTCTTCAAGGTCCTTTTCTGACTTGTCCAAAGGATCTATCGTTTCCGTTTCAATTGCAGTTTCAATCGGCTTTCCTTCTTGTAATGTATCCAACCTCATGCGTATAATCTTCTTAGGCGTCTTTGATATTTTCGGGTCATTCACCTCGTTATCCACGATTTGAGCGACGTCATGGCGCAAAGTGTAAGTGGCTGTATTCGTGCGATTTTGCGCCCGGGACGATTCCGGCGAGATGTGCACCTCCTCCAGATCCTGTCTGATCAGTTTCCGGTCGTCGATGTGAACCGACGGTCCTACCTGGACCTCGCACTCGTTCTCTCGATTCGTCGATGACGTTCGTCGATGATCTCGAGCACGATCGACGTCGCGTGCCGTCGCCTCGATCCTCTCGGTCGCGACCTCGATCGAGCCCTTCGACGGCACTTGGGCAAGCAACGCACGTTCACGGGACCGATCGCTTCTGTATCCCAGGGACAACCAATCGGTGTACCGTCGTCGCGGCATCTGAAATTTTGGCGCCGACAAATTAACCCTGCGAACGGTGGGAGGACGATCACGTTCCTCCGAACGGGCGCTCGCCTTGCCATTCGCTTCCGATAATCTTGAGGAGGTTGCCTCCTGCATCTTGGAGGCCACCAACTCGCGAACGTATTGCAGCTCTTCCTCCTCATTGTCCAAGGGCAGATCGTCGAAATATCTAAACGTATTTGATGATGGAAATTATATAAAATTATATATGTTAAATAATACACAGAAAAAAATGTAAAATTATACACAGAAAAAAAATTAAACTAAGATTATATACTCTACAATATTATAATCTTCTTAGAAGAATTTTAGTAGTCAAGTATTAATGCAAGTGTAGATATTTTTATATATAAATTAGAATACTAAATTCTTCATGTAGAAGATTTTTAATCTTGAGTTCAGCAAAAGTAATATTTGCATCAATACAATATCAAATTCAATCAAATCAAAATTAAAATTTTTGAAAAGACTATAATATTCTTGCTTATATATGAGAATATTTTTTTTGATTCAAGACTAATTTTTTTCTGTGTATATATAGCAAATGAAATTGAAATTATATAAATGAAGAATTTTCAATAGCATTTCGGTATTCATTAATTCCTTTTATAATATCGATCGATTGCCAAATTTAATCAAAGAAAAGAATTCGTGTAACTAAAATAAATAGAATAGAAATAAAATACAAAATGGAACGTTCCTTTAACCGTCACCGATTTTTTTTCTACTCACATATTTTTATTCTGTCGTGCGGAATCGAAGCTCGGTCTTGCGCAGATCTCCATGAGTTGTGTCTTTGCATTGTCAATAATCTTTTCAACATTTTCGAAAGTTGCCGATGTTTCGGGACTTAAGATGGGATCAGAAGTTTGCACTTCTACCGATCGACTTGTGCTAGGCTGCAATGAATAACGCACTTATTATTTATAAAACGTATATTTAAGTGGCTAAACTGAAATTGAATTAATGAAATTGACAACACCATTTTCTCGTCGATAACATATTTTTCTTTTTTCGAAGATTCCCCATCATTTCTGGAAGTTCTACTCGAGATTATCAATTTTTTAGGTCTGACAGTTGTGGGATGTCGATTGCCACTGTGTATTCTGATGTCATTATCTTTTTTGCGCGCTACATTCTCCGCCTGTTTGCAATAACACGTGCGAACGGAAGTCATTTCCCCTAAGGATGACGATATAGGACAGACTTCGTCGTTGCACGTCGTTTCCGGAGAACTCGAATTTTCCCTGCAATAAGAAAAGATGCTAAGAATAATAAATTTTTTTCTCATTACCTGTATCTACGTGAGAAAAATCTTTATCACAAAAGAATAATAAAATCGAAAACAACCGTCGGTAAATTAACATCTTATGGAAATTAATAAGTACATATACAAAAGAAATAATTATATTTAGAAGTATTTAAAAATTTGGCGAAAAATATATACTTCCGAATATTTTGATAAACTATCAAAGTAAATTTTTGATAGTTTATCAAAAATTTGACAAATCTGAAAATAGCTTTGTTGTTGGTCCATCAAAATAATTATATAAAACGTACGAGCTGACTACTACTAGAATACAAAAAATTTTTACAGTATTATCATTATGCATAAATAAATACTTTACATAATAATTTTGATGACCCAATAAAATTACTTTCAGGTCAGTATCTAGTGAAATTTTTAGAAACTTCAACGAGACCGTTTTCCGTTCGCGATTTTAGTTATTTCGAATAATAAAAGCTTCGTGACTTTTACAAACGATAACTAATAAAATAAAATAAAAGAAAAATAAAATAAATAAGATAAAAGAAAATTGTGATGAAATGACGTGATTTTTTGAATGACATTATGCAAAACTAAAGAAAAAAATTTTCCACAAGCAAGTGACAAATAAACACTCAGAGTAATCGCCCGGTACATTTCCTACGTGTCGCTTTAGCGGAGCGTGAAAAAATAATATGAGCGCTGTTTCTCATGTGCGACACACAATAATGTATGTCGCATGTCACACGATGAAACATTAACAATTAAATATCCATATGTAGCGACCTGACAATGTCCATCGTACGCTTTAAAATATGCATCAATTGGCATGCACAGCGTGCGGTGTCCTTGGACATGCACGTGCCGTTTAATCCCAATTATAATAGACAAACAAAGATGAGCGCGATTAAACGAGAAAAAAAAGATCATCGCTCGTGCACACGTGTAGCTGCAAACGCTTTCAGCATTGTAGCAAAGACGAAACATTGAATTTTTTAACCACGTGTAAAACACATTTTCTTAGAGTCTCTCTCTCTCTCTCTCTCTCTCTCTGATAAATAAAACATTATTCATAATGTTGACATCTTTCTACAATCGAAACTCGGCACTTTCGTTTAATTGTAAAGTTAAGAGATAATCTTAAAGATAATCTGAAATATTAAATAGAAATTCAGAGAGATACAAGTATAAAAGACTATAATTTTATCGAGGTATAAATATAAAAGACTATATTTTTAGTAAAATATTTTATTAACAAAAATAATGATTTCTACAACAATCGAAAATTCTAAAGCCCGTACAGAGAAAACGGGAGAACGAAAAAATATTGGCGTTACGTTCGAGTCGCAGAGCCGGGTTCAAGGACCGGCGATAATAAAGCTCTGAAGCTCTCTTTCTCGCTCCCTCTCTTTCTCCCTCTATCTCTCTCGTACTAAGCGGGGGTGTCGCCCTCCCGTTCGTTCCAGCTCTTTCCCGACTACGACTGAAATCAAGCAGTTCTCGTACTACGTTCAGCTATGCCGTCGAACCTTCCGCGA